AGTGAAATATATTTATGTTTGTGGTTGTAATGTGACAAAATATGGAAAAGTTCAAGGGGTATGAATACTTTTGCAAACCACTGTAGATCGATGTATTGTTACACCCTTAATAATATGACATGTTTCTGGATGGTATGAATTAGGGTTGGGTAATATTGGGAAAAAAAATTATCACGATTAATTGTGGTATTTAGACGATAACGATTAATTTGACGATTAATCCCCTGGAGTTCCTGGACACCCTCATGTCCTGGTCACATGACCAATTAATAGATAAAGAAATTACAGAACTGTTTTTAATGTTCATCATATTTGAAGCGAAGAGGAGCACCAGTCAGTCTGCCTGCTGGCATTAATCGTATTAATCGTCAAGTGCCAAAAAGTAATCGGTTAATGTTTTTCTGATGATTAGTTGCACGTGATGCGATTATGCCCAACCCTAGTACGAATTAAATTTATAGGAGAGAGATTGAGTGAAGTGGACCATACTACGTACAAAGCATTAAAATAAATAGGAGTTATATCCTCTTTAGTCATATTAGATGACGTAAAAAAATATTAGACCACAATTTCTTAACGGAGGAACAGCTCCAAAACGTGAATAATTTGCTGTGCAGCTGTTTGCGTTGTTCCCACAGAGGGAACACTGTCAAGTATTTTTGCAAGCCTGGCTTTAGTTAAGTGCACTTGAATCAGGATTGCGTGAGTCTTGAATGGGTCTAACCACATTGACTGTCCTCTGTGTTCCCACCCTGCAGGAGACCCCAGTGTGCTGCTGGTCCTGGTGGAGGAGGAGCTGGTAGTTGTAGACTTGCAGACAGAAGGCTGGCCTGTTATTCAGACCCCATACCTGGTTCCTCTCCACAGTTCAGCCATCACCTGCTCTCAGCATGTCTCTGCCATCCCTCTGAAGCTGTGGGAGAGGATCATTGCTGCTGGAAAGCTACAGAACATGCATTACTCTGACAAGGTACACCTGTTGGAGCCATGTCCATACGGTCCATGATTTACTAAATGTCAATTCTACAGTATATCATCGTTATCAATATCTGTGAATTTACTTTTGCCCATGTGTTTATGTATCTTAATTTGTCTGTTAATGACATCTTATAAACCACCGGGCTAATTATAAACAAAACTTGCAGAAAAGACTTATTTGTACATATGCAACTACCATATTTATTCAAGTATAATGCGTAAAATTTAATCCATAAAATCATGCACAAAATCCCTGAGTCCGGAAAGGAAACCCCGTCGTAAAAAGCAGTTGAAGCGAGCTCACCTGTGACACTCCTTTGTGCCTCCGAGCGAGATAGTAACAGATCCAAGCAGGCAACATGATGTGAAAAAAAAAAGAAAAAAGGCAGTCCTGCAGCTAAGTAATAACGAAATAATAATATTTATGTGCGACCGAGCCGCTCCTGCAACAACAACAAACACATGGTCAGCTGTAATGGCTGCCGTCTACCAGTGTTCTGAAAAAGTTGGTCTACCTGAAAAAAGTTTTCCCACCAGAGGGGGCGCTCGCGAGACAGAGGATGAGATTGTTGTTGAGTGGGATTCTGATGCCTTTATTACAGAGGAGGAATACCAGAAACTTTTAATGATACTGATGATGGTGAGCCTGATTTTGAAGACTTTGATTCAGCTTCATCCACACTTGTTAGAGCCACACAGCTCTGTTTGTTATACCACACCAGTTAACAATTGAACATTTGATAGTTTTTGTTGTAGTTATACATTTGTTGCTGTGTACCTTTTAGTACATATGTTGTTAAAATAAAATTAAAAACTGATACAACAGTCAAATGATAATTTTAAGAATGCAAAGGCTGAAAAATTCCGAACTCCTTATGAAATTAGAGGTAGGATGAGAATTACGTTTTTTATGCTTTTTAAGATAAAAATAGGGGGGTCGTATTATATATAAGATCGTATTATACACGAATAAATACGGTAAATAACTTTTGAAGTCATCCCAATTTAAGATGGCTGTCAAAGCTAACCGACCTTTTAGGAAACACTAGAATTACAGTCAGTGAGGTGTAATTTGGTGTGGTAATAGATGAGCATTGCTCTCAGCACATGTTCAGAGTGCTTAACACATCTTACAAGATCTCACAATATCATGAGTTTGAAAAACACCACTTACTACATGTAAATGAAAAGGGCTACAATTCATTTCTCTTCACAAATCTGGTTTAAAAGGTGTGAGGTGCTTTTTTCTTATGAACGCGCAACAATATGCAGAAACAATTCATCGTCAGCCATGGCCGCTGTCACAGAACACAGAGTATGAAGAAAAGAAATAATGTGACTAATGACTAACCTCTTTTAGGACATTTTTAATCTTTCTGAAACTGTTAATCTGCTAAAAAATTTTTATTAAATGTCATTCTGAGTTCAACAAGTCTTGAACTTGTGATTAAATTGTAATTTTAATTTTTCCCAAACATTAACCCATAACTGAGTGTACACATCTTGGCTGCATGTAGTTGTGTGATGGTGGTCACATTTGCTAGCTGTAGTTTGTTTACTGTTGTTCTGGGTTATCAGTGTTTCCTCCTGTTCCCCTTAGCCTTGGCCAATAATAGGAGGTAAAAACCTGGCCCCTGATCCTGCACAAAGAGACCTCCTGCTCACAGGGTTGGTACTGTTGCATGTTCTACACAAGTCAGCACATCTGTGGACCACTTGAACTGTGTTATTTTCTTTATTCCTGCAGACATGAGGATGGAACAGTACGTTTCTGGGATGCATCGGGAGTTTGCCTGTATCCTCTGTACAAGCTGAGTACAGCTCCAGTGTTTCATACTGACGCCGACCCCAATGACAACATGAACCAAAGTGCTGAGGGGGAGTGGCCACCGTTCAGGAAGGTTTGGTCTAAAAACACTCTTTTACAGTTCACAAGGTTAAGTTACAATCAATCATCATTTTCTTCAAGGATAAATGGGTCAATATGCTGTGTGACATCATATTTTCCTCATTTCTAAGAGCTCGTCTATACTGAATGTGGCATCAATTACAGGCAGTTCAAAATTAGGGCTGTGAAATTAATCGAGTTAACTCAGATTAATTTTAGTGCTGCATGGGCATAGATTAAAAGTCCTAATCACGATTAAACTTTACAGTCACTTTACTCTGGCTGAATATGTAGGTTTGTATATTACAATGCACTCAGTGCATCATGCCAGGTCATGTTTGTAAATGAGAAGTGGTTCTCAAACAGTTTACCTGGATAAATAAAGGTTAAATAAATAAATAAGAAACTCCATGTGTAACACATTATGAACAGTTTTTTCTTTCTTTCTGTCTTCTTATGGCTTATTTTATTTATTTATGTTTTGCTGACAACTGTGACCTTAGTGTAAATCTTTCATGTAGTCCTCATTTGAAATAAAAATCCTTGAATTCTTGATTTAACCTCATTATTCTGCACAAAATGTAACTGACTCAAACATGTTTGGAGCATTTTTAGGTCCTGTTTTACATTCAAAAAATCATGTCTAAGCATCAATTTTGTTTTCTAAATAAAAAAATTAAAAACTAATTAATAACTCAAGTAATTTATTTTATCAATATGCAATAGAAATGTGAATTAATCATGATTAATCTTAAATTTAATACACAGCTACTTTGGGATTATTCAGATTAAAAATATTAATCATTTGACAGCCCTATTAAAAATATAACTAACTAACCAGTATTTAATAATTTACTGTGTATGTAGTTATTTTATTTATGTGAATTGTCTTCATATTGATTTGAGTCTTGATCTGAAATAGATTTATGATTTTTTTTTCTTTTGTATATACACCTGAATTGGCTTTTGTTGTGAACTGACATCGTATAGATACACTGAATAAAATAAAATGGAGCCTAGATTTAAATGAAATCTGTACATGTCCTGCATTACAAAGTCTTTACAAAAAAACTTTGTGCGTTTTTGAAGCCTGACTTAGAATTAAGTTGTTTCATAACAGTTTTTTTTTCTTTACTGCAGTATTTTTTAAAATTTCCTCTTGGTTAAAATGCATGTTTCTGTTCTGTTTTAGTGCAATAATTTTCTCTTTGTTTGGTTTCAGGTCGGTTGTTTTGACCCTTACAGTGATGATCCGAGGCTGGGCATTCAGAAGATTCATCTATGTAAATACAGTGGTTATCTGACTGTAGCCGGCACTGCAGGACAGGTGACTAAAGCTGATCCCACCTTGAAAAAAGGAACTAGTTAAAACAAAAGTTCACGGAGCTAGTTTGTGTATATATAAAATTTTCTCAAAATATTCTAAAAAATAGTCTTTGTACAATTTAACTGTGTTTTTTTAGGAAGTATTAACATGCAGGTGAGGCCAGAGGATGTGCATGTTCAGAGGCAGTTAAAGAATGACCAAATGAATAAAACAAATTTTATTAGTGTTTATAATTAAATTCCAATAGTATTTTGACATTGAGTTTTGTTAATCAGGGTAATGAACTATAACTTTTATTGTGTATCTTTACCATTAAAACCAACAATAGTGGGCAGATTAACATTAAAACATGATTACAAATTTATAGATATTTTTTGTCCAAAATACAGAGTACATTTTTAATGTCTAATTTCAGATAAAACAGCATTCCATTGCTTATTTAGTAAAATGTTGTTATTTCAAGTGATTACATGGACCAGATGACAAACATGTTTGTCTCAGGCAATCAGTCACACAGCTGCATGGTACCTGAGTTTCATCAAGCACAGTATGGAACCCTATTTAAAAACTGTTGTTAAAAATAAGGATGATATTATTTTATCTGGTTTTGGGGTAGGTTCAAGCTAAAGAGGCAAGGGGACGTGACTGCAATTCAGTAGTGTTTTCATGCTTCTAGTGGAGCATGTAACTTTCTTGAAAACGTTCATTATTAATTTAATAAATTCTTCTTCTGTACATAAGTCTTACTGCAGACCTGGCAATGTTTATAGGGTGAAGAAATAAGTTTAAAAATGACTGGTTATACAACTGAACAACTTTTAGTCATCCCAGTTTAAGATGGCCACTGATATGCACTCTGATTCAGATTCAAATTATTTTATTGTCATTTAACATAACATCAGAGATGCACCGTAGAATGAAATTACGATGCATATTAGCACAGGATATAAACAGCTGGACAAACTATAAAGCAATGTAGAGTTCAAAATACAAAAATTAAACAAAGTGAAGTGACTTAGAAGAGGAGTGAAGTAGAAATAGAGTGGTAGAATCCAGATCAATATCGAGGTAGAGGTGGTTTAAATAAAATAAATGTAGTAAGGTGTGTACATTTGCTTTGTGTAATATATAACAGTATGTGTGCATTWGTGCAATGTGCAACATTATGTGTGCAAAACAGTGAACAGGTAAATGAGATAAAGTTAAAGGAGTGTTCGATCAGTAGCTGAGCAGATTAAAACAGAGTAAGTCTGAGCAGGTAGATGAGATTGTAAGTCAGACTTGGTTATTTATGCAGTGTTCATAAGTCTGACGGCGGTGGGGAAGAAGCTGTCCTGACCCTCACTGTTCTGCAGGACAGGCTGTGGTATCTTCTGCCTGAGGGTAGGACAGAGAGCATGCTGTGACTGGGATGAGTGGGGTCTTTGATGATTCTGATTGTCCTCGACAGAAAGCGTTGTTTGGCCAGTTCTCCAATAGGTGTCAGCGAGACCCCAATTATTTTCTCAGCTGACCTCACCACTCTCCCCAGTGCCTTTCTGTCAGAGGTGTTGCTGCTCTCGTGCCTCAGAGAGATGCAGCTGATGGGTACGCTCTCAATGGTGCCTCTGTTGTTGTTGTGAGGATTGATGTTTTCAGGTGTGCTCTCTTGAGCCTGCACAGGAAGTGAAGTCTTTGCCGGGCCTTTTTCACAATGTGGTTGGTGTGCAGTGTCCAGCTGAGAGTATTAGCAACAGGACCCCCAAGAACTTGATGTGTGGGACGATCTCTACTGCAGTGTTGTTGATGAGGAGCGGGCTGTCCTCAGGCTGTTTCTTCCTGAAGTCGATCACCAGTTCTTTTGTTTTCTCCACATTTAGATGCAGGTTGTTGTTGCCACACCATTGTACAAAGAGGTCCACCTCCTCTCTGTAGTGTTTGTCCTCCCCATCCTGGATGAGACCCACCACTGTTGTCATCCACATACTTAAGGATGTGGTTCGTCTTGTATTTGGCACAGCAGTCGTAGGTCATCAGGGTTTAAAGCATGGGGCTGAGAACACATCCCTGGGGGACGCCTGTGCTCAGCATGATGGTGTCTGACCTGTTGTTTCCTCCGAATTGTGGTCTGTCTGTTAAAAAGGTTTGAGCGATATTCAAATTGGAGTGGATCCAGTGATGTTGGGAGGATGGTGGTGATGTGATCTTTGACCATCCTTTCAAAGCACTTGATGATTATTGGTGTTAATGCTACTGGGCGGTAGTCATCCAAGGATGTTACTGCCATTTTTTTAGGAACCAGGATGATTGCAGACTCTTTGTAGCAGGATGGAACTGCAGCCTGACGCAGGGAGATGTTGAAAATGTCTGTAAAAACATGCGTCAGCTGTTCTTCACACTCTTTAAGCACACAGCTTGGTATCTGGTCAGGACCAGCAGCTTTCCTCGGGTTGATCCCTCTCAGTGCGGAGGACTTCAGCTGAGCTGAGACACAGAACCTGTTCTTCCTCGTCTCCAGTTGCCTTTACCGCCGGCGTGTTGTTGAGAGCCTCAAACCGTCCAAAATGCTTGTTCAGTTGGTTCAGGAAGTCGGTGTTTACATCGCAGGAATGTGGTGTGGTCTTGTAATTTGTGATTTTGATTCCTTGCCACAGGCTCCTGCTGTCTCTGTAGTCCTGGAAGTGGTCTTGAATTTAGTGTCCGTGGGCCCTTTTAGCTAGTCTGATTTCTTTGTTCAGCCTGGTTGTAGCCGTTCTGAGGGCATTGTTGTCTCCAGATTTAAAAGCTACGTCTCTTGATCTCAGGAGGGCTCACACCTCCGTAGTCATCCATGGTTTCTCGTTTCCTCTTATTGTAATGCGTACAAAAAAAACTTCACAGTCAGGAGCTGAAATGCACAAAAATATACAATTACTATTTTCACAGAAAGTTATTTCATTTGATTTAACAAAAAGAAATAAACTTTCTTCTTTAGATGAGTGTGTTTAAAGC